GAATGGTGAATTCTATAGGCAAGTGGATGGAGTGGCCATGGGTTCGCCAGTCTCCCCCGTCGTAGCCGACATCTTCATGGAGGACTTCGAGGAGACTGCTCTGAACACATCACCCGTGACCCCTCGTTTCTACAAGCGGTATGTAGATGACACTTTCACAATATTACCATCTGATAAAATAACTGTATTCTTAGAACACCTTAATTCTATAAATCCTAAAATACAATTTACAATGGAATTAGAATCAGACAATACCTTAGCTTTCCTAGATGTATTAGTTAAACGTAACACAGATAACACCTTGAGTCATACTGTGTATAGAAAGAAGACCCATACTGATAGGTACCTGAACGGTGAATCTCACCACCATCCTTCACAGTTAGCTACCGTGGGAAAATCTTTGTTTCAGAGAGCGCGCGGGATCTGTGACGAGCAACACCTGGCCGGAGAACTGCAACATGTCAAGCAAGTTCTGCGTGACAACAAGCTGCAAGTGCCGCGCCTGCGTCACAGTGACCGAGTAAAACCAGCCACAGTCGAGCGCGTCCCTGCAGTCTTGCCATACATGAAAGGAGTCACTGACAAGATTGGCTACATTCTAAAGCGAGCTTCAATTAAAACTTACTTCAAGCCGCCAAAGAAAATTAGTCAGTTCTTACCACCTGTCAAGTGCCACATCCCTCTACAAGATGCAGGAGTTTACAAGCTTGATTGTGATTGTGGGCTCTCTTACATTGGACAAACAAAGCGATCCATTAGAACCCGGGTCAAAGAACACATAGCTGATGTGAAGCACCGTCGCAATACAACATCTGCTGTCTGCAAACATAGCCAGGACCGCCCAAGCCATTATATTCGTTTCGATAGACCTCAAATCTTGGCGAAAGAAAACCGATATCGCCCTAGAATGATTCGAGAAGCCATAGAAATTAAAAAACATCCAAATTTCAATAGGGAAGATGGCTGGGTACTACCATCGTCATGGGATCCTGTTATTAATATAATAAAATCAAATAATAAATATAAACATAACAGACAGGCGGATGTAGTAAGTTCATACTGTGTAGATCAAAATGACAGCTTATCAGATTGATATTTTTCATTTTTCATTTGTAAAAGTATATATTAATAGTGTTGCTTAGTAAGTTGTTTTTAAATAATAGCAAACTAAATTAAAATTATAATCCTTAATTAATTTTAACTTTTTTTAAATTACACATTGAACAATTATATAGCTTAAATAATTAATACTATATTTTATATTTTTCTTTATGGTTATAAATATAATAATGGCAACACTAAATATAGATTACTAATTAATATTTTTAAAATTGTAATAATTATAAAAATAATAGCAAAAATTAAATAAATAATTTTCCATATTCAATTATAATTAAAATTATAAAAATGTTTAAAGTTAAAATATTGTAATGTAATTGGTGCAATTTTCATTTTGTTGATTGTGGGTAGGCTGTCTGTAACAACTATATCTTTAAGACATGTAACACCTCAGTCTCTCCCGTGACCATGGATGCTGTAAAGCATTCGAAACGTCGGGAACCAAAAATCAAAATAAATCCGCGAAATAATCCGAAAAGATAGTTTTATTTAATAATTAACTATTTTTTTTAATAAATGGACTAAAGATAAGGCCTAATAAACATTTCGTGTTACCTGGGCGGTGAATTTGAGGAGGGATTATGTCATGTAGGGAATATTTCAATTTGGGATAATTAAAAAGAATTAATTAATGTCCTGCTGACCGATTCCGGCTACGGCGGCCAATCTCATTGAGACTAGCCAACTGAGCAGGAGATATTATAGTGCACAAGACTGTGTACGCGCGGACACAACGTGCACTCTCTATTCCTGTCACTCTCATACTCCGGAGGGACGACTGCTCGACACGACCAGTAAGAGTTAAGGCGCAGGACCGACGGCTTTACGTGCTCTCCGAGGCACGGGGGTGAGACACCGCCAACTTCCCAACTCCGGGCTGTAATTACTGAGGCTTACTATACAGAAAGACTCAATAACTAAAATTGGCCCGACCGGACTCGAACCCAGGACCTCCGGGTGTGAAGCTGTACATGCTAGCCTGGTGCCACTGCACCACCAAGGCAGTTAAAAAGAATATTATGATCAGTCGAACTCTCATCTAAGTCACATTCACAGATAGAGCTATTTTTAATTTTTAATTTAGCTAAATGAACCGGAGTACACGCATGGCCTATACGGAGCCAACATATGTATAATTGAGGTGGTTTTACGTCAGCACGGCGAAATCCAAAGAACCACAGGGAGACCGGAACTTCCGGTTGGATTGAAGCATAGTACTTACCTTTAATTGTTTTAGAGACGTTCCAAAAATTAGGTACTTAAGATATTTTTTATCATACAAAAAAGATGACTTTCGTGACATAAGAAATAAAAGTTTTTCAAAGCTACAGTATAATGCAGAAAATACAACTTCTATTATTATACTTATAAATCGTTATAGTATTATTTTACAAATGCGCCTACCGGATAGACGATAGAAATGCAACATCCATACTAATATTATAAATGTGAAAGTGTTTGTTTGTTTTTCTTTCTTTCACGTCGAAACGGCTTAACGGGTTGGCTTGATTTTTTGTGTGGAGATAGTTGGAGGGCTGGAGAATGACATAGGCTACTTTTTACCGCGGAAGATTATTTCTTTCCCACGGGAAAACACGTTATAACAATAGTATATACAATATAATAGAATACAATCCAAAAAAAATATGTTAAGAATTACTTGAAACTTGGTATAAATGCTCTTCAATACAATTAAATACGTGTTTTAACATTTTTCGAAATGCATCTCATAAAGGGGTAAAATAGCGGATTAAAGTTTGTATGAAACCTACCATTTTAGAGTTGTTTTTTGTAGTTTTAGCGCGAGCGAAGCCGCGGGTTCTGCTAGTGTTAATCTAAATTAAATGAAACAAATGGTAATCGCGAAATTCTAAGTAATAATTTTATAACAAAGAATATGATGTGAAAATAAATTTATAGGTACATCGGCACATATAATTTAGTTTCTATATGGAAACGGCTGCATGGGTTTTCAATAATTGGCCGGTTGTTGTTCTTTAATTAATTGTTATCATTTGCAACACATCTTTTTTTTACCCGGAACAAAAAAAAATGTCTTTTCAGAGTTAAAAATATGGGTTTCCATGACCATCTGTAAAATTGATAAAAGTACTGCAAGGATTTAGATATAGTTAGTTCTGCACGATACATAATGGTAGAAACAAAGAAGAGTGAGGATACAATTTTAGTATTATTTTTTATATTAGAATTATTAAACGTTACTATTATTATTAAACATATCTATACTAATATTATAAAGAGGTAAAGTTTGTGAGTTTGTAACCTTGTAGGGGGTAATCTCTGGATCTACTGAGCAAATTTAGATGACATTTGGTAAGAAGATAGTTTGAGACACTGGGAAGGACATAGAATACTTTTATTCCGGAAATCATCCCTTCAGGGGGTGAAAATGGGAATGAAGGTTTGTATGGCGAATCAAGCTAGAGACGAACCCGAGCAAAGCGAGGGTGAGTCGCTAGTTATGTTAATAAAGAGAAAAAATAAGAATTTAAGTTAAACACGCAGTGTCGCACGCAACCTCAAGTTTTTTTTAATTACAATACCTGTTCATAGTAGTTATGTGTATATTTTATTAACCTAATACATAATTTTTTTTTAATTTTCAGTTAATATTTAGTTTCTCGAAGAATTCAACCCTAACCCATAACAATTACCCTAAAATATTTTTTTACAAACATCTATTATAATTTATCGTCACTCTCAGAGTGTAAAATACATTATTATCTTTCAAAAGAAGAATAAAATTATAAATTGCCTACATTAGGGATAATATAAAAATACATTAACCTAAATTGCTTAGTTTTATAACATCGTATCAAAATAAATTAATATTCCGCTGTAGAGCAAATCCTCTTCTACTAATGAGTGAGATTATTGCACTATACTGCTTTGCGGGATGATATTTCTGCAAGTTAATTATCAGCGACATAGTGCAGTATCTATCGAGTCTTATATGTACATATAAACTAATTCTTTTTTCGTTACTATGAACAAAAATTCAATGTACGTAATAAAAATAATTAATTTTCAGTCTAAAGTAACTGTTTTGAGTATTTTTACATAATATTTACGTATTAGTGGTATACACTTTAAGAATTTTTATAGTAGTATATTATTTCCTACTTCAACTATCAATATAGCTAATATTTCACATTATACCTACATCATATCATAGCTCATTTGGAAAAGGTATTCAATTACAAGAATTAAAACTACTCCAAAAAGAGTAAATAACAGAAATTCTAAAAGAACATGTCTCTCAAACTGAAATGGTACTTTTCGTAAAAACGTCAATTTTACTACTCAAAAATAGGAAAATCTGCGAAATCTGCTACTATACAGGCGTAATTCATTTTTCTGTAATCACATTGCATATATATTTTTATTTCTTTCCCTATTCAGGCGCTCAGGCGTAATAAATACCTAGAAATATGATATTATGACATTTATATTCGCAATGCCTTTAAATGTTTGATAAAAAACAATAACTTTAATTTCAGCATGTTAAATTCAAAAGGCATTCTTTCTATTTTTAGAGCTAACAATTGGAAAATAATTTGGGATAAAATTATAAATTTAATTACATCCATTCTTTATCAACAGGCTAGAAATGAGATATTGTACCCATTTTCTTTATATAGCGTGACAGCGCACGTGCGCTCTTCTATCCTCACCGGGTGAGGAAGTAGAGGTTAAAATACAACGTTAACATACAGCTCCCGATTCTGCTATCATAGTCGCAATTCATTCAGTCCTATTTCTTACAACACTGGAAGCGTTGCGCCGGCGGATCGCTGAAAATCGTTACCGGCATACTATTTCCATGCGGAGAAACTGGCACATGCAACGCACCAACTTACACATGGATTCACGGTCGCGGCTTCTTTACATCGCGCCACAATCGCCGGTCCCGGTATCGGTTTCACTGAGCTGAGGACAATGAACACATGCACTTCGCGGACAGCGGGATCGCGAGTCGGGCTCCGCGGGATAGGTTTCAATGGGATAGGGTTTCCCGGGCTCCGAGGGCGTGTACGCGGTTCGCGAGCCAGGTGTCACGATCTCGGTGCGGACTAGCGCTCGCACGGACCAGCGCCGACACACGACAGCCTCCGTCGCAATGACGAAGCGGCCGGGTACGCGCGCGCGCTCTGCGACGCAGCCTCCCGATCCCAACCGACCCCCGCCGACATCTCCCGACAGAGGGGTGAACAAACCCGCCACACTTCTCCTTCTAACGTAGTGATGAGGTTAAAAAGGATTTAGACTTTCTCAAAGCGCTTCACGGTTCGATCGTCTTCTACGTACACGTGTTCAAAATCTGCTACTTGTGAGCTTGCCTGCTTTTTAAAGCTTTTATCAGACTTATATTGTACGCTAATTACAATAAAAATTGGACAATGCTGCCTTTTCTGAGAATCTACGCTCAGGTTTTTATTTTTACGTATAAATACCAAAAAATAGCAGAACGCTGAGGAAAGTTCCATGCGCAATACTCGTTGCAGGATATGTTATAAAACACAAAGACTCATCAAAAGAAGTATAGAATCGTTGGGTCACTGCCGGTGATTTAATATATAAAAGAAAGATTTTTCTTTACAAGGCCATTCGACTGTAACCAAAGATAATTTTAAAAGAGAAATGCTCCTTCGAGTGAAAACTTCCGAAAGTTTGCGTTGTTCATACAAATAACCTTTGTACAAACATTGAAATTTTAATTTAAAAAAAAAGATTCTACAAATAATTAGTAATAAATAAATCTTATATTTTCTAAAGGCCTTTTTTCTGTCGACAGAAGTAAATACATTGGGATGAAGAAAAAAATTAATCACATAAGCCGCGCAACTCAAATATCGAATCGCTATTAACAATTTAAATTCTTGATACGTTAAAATGGTTCAGCGCTGATCGAAAACGATTAAAATGGCACAAATTGATATCCCTGGGAACGAGGCAGGTGACGGCACGACAAAAACACCTCAGTCTTTGTATCCTTTATATAGAACATCTTACCATCAGACTCAATCCAATTTAACACGCTATACTGCCTGGTTTAAATAGCTATCTTGAAAGTAATTATTATTAGAGTAAAAATATTGACCTAAGTTGAGTTTATTAATTGTAGAGTTTAAATGTGGGCCGATGATAGAATATATAAACTTAATGAAATTATTCTTATCATATTTTAACGACTTTTATAAGAACTGTACACCAAATACATATATGAATATAAAAATGAAATATAAAATATTTTATCTACATATTAATAAGTTCAAATAGGTATAAAGTTTGTTTTTGTAAACAGCTAAAATAAAATGTTTAGCGTAGCTACGTAACGTACATTGCTACGAATACGTAGAGCTTCGTAGCAAACAAAGCACCGCAGTTACGGCCACCTAATTCCTTCCCAACTCTTCTCCCCGCAAAATAATACACAGATTTATATAAAACAGACGCGCCTTTGTTTCGCTGGAAAGTAACTTTACTACTAGCTCACTGATATGCTTTGTGTCACTTTGTAAAAGAAAATCCACATCTCAGTTATAATGCAGGTTTTTTTCTGTGTGACAATTTGAACAAAACTTGTCCCGTTTTCATTTAAGATTTCACATTTAAAATTTACTTGTGTACACACGTGGAACATTATGTTTTAACTCTTAATAACTCCTCGAGCTTATGCAAACGCTTAAGTCATAATGAAGCGTAGGATATTGTGTAAAGAGATAGATAACTTGAACGCATCCTGATATTGTTTAGCTCTTTGTTTCCCAACGTTTCTTATGCTTTACAGCAAACACGGTCACGGGAGAGACTGAAGTTTTTGATGTCACAAAAGTTATAGCTATGAAAGACTTTAATATATTTAAACGAACAACTCTTATATGCTTATTTATTTATTTTTATATATACCGACGATCTCAGAAACGGCTCTAACGATATCGCTGATATTTGGTATCGATCTAGATTAGTCTTATGTCTGGAAAAACGCATGTTTTCGAGTTTTCATGCGGTTTTCTTTCGCATTATTCCACGCAAAATATGGTAGCTAATTTTGCACGCTCGGGCATAGGCATTGTGATCAAGCGGCAAAGGCGCAAGATTGACAATCCCATGTATCCGGGCTCGAATTCCCGTCGGATACAAACATTTTACCTTTGTTTTTTTTTGTATTTATTTAAGTTTTTAGTTTTTTTATCTAAAAAATATGATATAACATAAAAGAATTCCGAGCGAAGCTCGGTCACCCAGGTACTTATAAAATAATAATAAGAAAAACGGCACCTCTTGTCACACAAATATTTTTTTTAATAAAGACAGTTTAAATTAAAAACTTAAGAAAATTTGAGTTGCTATAATTTATGATTAAACGAACTTACCTTCTATCATAATTATACGTATGCTTCGCCTGAAGAGATTAGAATATTTGTAGTAGCACGAGACGTGTAGTCATTCATACAGTATAGTTGAGAAATACATTTATTATTATAAATTAAAATTATTGATTAATATATATTACTTATGAATTGTTAATTATTTATATAGATTATTATTATGTAAATATAAATGTACGCATTACAATGCAATGAATTTTTTTGATCTAGTGTTTTTTTTGTAATTAAATTTAAAGTTCTCCATAAGTAAGTTATTCATTTTAAACTGATTAGTAGATGTAAACTTAATAAGTTATTTAAGATTTAGAATAAGGCAACTTTTGCCATTCGGCGTAGATATTAAAAAATACTCGATATAAATTAAGACGTGGAGTCTATCGGATATTGACACTTCATTAATGACTATTTGAAAATTATAAAAGGAGGTGTAATTTTCGGTTCGGTGAAGGTTAAGGAAATATTTCATCCATTTTTGATCCTTGACAGAACCATATTATTATTAGATATTAGGCGCCATCTATCATAGAACAAGGATAGACTACCTAAGTCACGACGTACAATATCCATTTTAATTTAAAAGTGTAACAAAAAACATATAAAAGGTAATATACATGTATGTGTAGGTATATTGGTGGAATATTTCTTCGCTATGCAGCAACCATGTTAGACTGACAATAACTAATATGACGCACGTTTTTGATGCGCAGACGGGACCAATATTTTGTAGTACATTTTGTTGATCTGTATTTTACGAGTATTATATAACTTTGTACTGCTTATTTACTATTTATTTATCTATTATATATGAAGCCAACATAGTATACAGTGCTTTTGATCTTTTATACCTAATTTCTTATAAAATAAAATATACCTATTTAGACATAAATTCATAACTTAAAAATAACATACTATAATTTGATTAGGTCTATATAGACGTAAAATATTTTAATAAGCTAACTAGCACTGCCCGCGGCTCCGCCCGCGTTCAGATGACCAAAAACCAAATTCTTAGGTTTTACATATTAATATACTCTTACATTGCAGTTTTTGTATTTTTTCTCAGAAATGAAATATTTTCCCGAGGTAAAAAGTATCCTATATGTTGACCCGAATAACCAGCTATCTTCATACCAAATTTCATCAAAATCTGTCCAGTGGTTTTCTCGTGATGCAGCTGTAACAGACGGACGGACGGACGAACGGACGGACGGACGGACGGACGGACGGACGGACGGACGGACGGACGGACAGGCAGACACAGACAAAAATTCTAAAAACTATAGATTCGGACTCTGTATCGATAATAATGTCTATTTCAATTATATTTTCCAAAAAATATTTAATGTACAGATTCGACTTAGTTAGAATTTTATTATTTGTATCTTCTTCTAAGTCGCTACACTCTTGACAGAGTGGTCGTGGTCGTAACTTGAGCGTTGTGGCATGCTTGACTACTCGTCGCCACTCCTCTCTAACAGCCGCTTTCTTCGTGCATTCGTGTAAGGGAACATTCATCGCAGCCCTCACTTGGTCTGTCCACCTCATGGGCGTTCTGCCACGTGCTCTAGTGCCCTCTACTCTTCCTTGAACCACTAAACGTTCAATCGAAACATCATCACGTCTTGTATAGACAACGATAAATATTCTTTTAAATTATATTTTAATTAACAATAATAATACTTTATATTATGTTATGTATTCTTCAGTAACATACCTAAGAAACTAGGAGGTGATAGACCAATTGAAGTAAAGCCGAACAATAACTCATTCCCCAATGTTTCGTATCCAGTGGATCGTAAGATTAAGTGTGTGGTTACTGGCTACCTCCTCCGCACCGGTGCGATGCGCTTTCTCGAACCAAATAAGTAAATCCATACATATAATAAAATTCTAACTAAGTCGAATCTGTACATTAAATATTTTTTGGAAAATCTAATTGAAATAGACATTATTATCGATACAGAGTCCGAATCTAGTTTCTAGAATTTTTGTCTGTCTGTCTGTTACCGCATCACGAGAAATCCACTGGACAGATTTTGATGAGATTTGGTATGATGATAGCTGGTTATCCGGGTCAACATATAGTACCTATACTTTTTACCGCGGGAAAATATCTCATTTCTGAGAAAAAAATACAAAAACTGCATCGTAAGAGTATACTAATATGTGAAACTTAAGAATTTGGTTTTTGGTCATCTGAACGCGGGCGGAGCCGCGGGCAATTCTAGTACCTTATAATAATGTAGTGTGCTAACGGTTGTTAATTAACATAATGTAAGTAATCCTATATATACTAGCCTTTGTCCTTACTGATATTATAAATGCAAAAGTGCTTGTTGATGTTTTGCTTATTCTGTTTACCCTCCTTCCACGTACGTAAGAAGTAGATTTTTCCGATTTTTTAACCGGAAGCTGCATAAATTACTTTTTATGCCTATACATCAAGTTTACAATCGGAAGTCTTTTGCAAGAATTCAAATGAATCATTTTTTAAAACCAGTTTCCCATGCCGCCCACAAGGTAGGCACATTGAATAATAAAAACTTAAAAAAACCGACTTCCAGGCACTAAAATGTAAAAATAACTAAACTTGGGTTTTCATTTAGAATAGATACCTAATTAGATATTTTCGAAGTCGGTGCCAGCCGATACAAAGCAAATCTAATATATTTCGATACGTAAAATACATCACAAATTTACCTATTCGATATTCATATCTTAAAATATGCTCATTATGTTTCTTCTTCAACTTGTTCTCATCTTTTAAGTTCGCTTTTTAATCTTTACCTAGCCAGGTATTTTTTATTTATGTAAATTCTAATAATATACCACATTTTATTTCATTGCCCAGACCAAAGTAAAACCCTGAAGCTGAAGGTCCGAAATTCTGACACTATATTACTTTAGCGTATTTTCTGTTTTCAATTCTAGACAACAGTTACGCGAAATCAGCACGCATTTGTAACACAAAATATACACTCTGAAACCGTGTGGAGTTTACGTGAGTTAAACACTGTTTCGCAATCATCTAACTTAGTTTTGTTTTTACTCAACAATTTACATCTCAATTGAACACTGATTTAAAACAGCCCGTTCTAATACAAAAAACAAAAACCTTTCACTAAAAGGGGCTTAATTTTTATGGTAAGCCACATGTTTGAAACGGGTTTGAAATTAAAATAAATCGCCAGAACGAAGCCTCGACAAATTAAACTTCTATTTCAATCACATTCCTAATATGAACCTGAAAAGTTACGTATGTAAAGTATGCGTGTGTATGTATGTGTGTTGAAATGGCACGCTTAAACAGTTGGACTTTGAATGAAATTTTGTACACAGATAGACAAGAAAAATGTAGGCAACTATATTATTATTAGTTATAGTTAGCAATTAAATTTGCCAAAAGTGGGACTGATCGTTATTCAAAAGATTAATACATACATGTTATATTATTTGTTTACGAGGCATAAATAAAAGTTGATTTTTTTATATCAAGTCGCCGCAAGTTATACCCACCCGATCGAAGCAAGGGTAAGTCACTAGTATAAGTTCAAAATCAAAATATTTTATTCAGCATTAAATTATTACAATTTTTTACTGAACGTCATGAGTCTACTACCAGTTCGGAAAGAAGAAGCCTCAGACCTGAGAAGAACTGGCGAAAGAAACTCAGCGGGACTAATATTAGCTCGTTATCTTTTTTTTAAAGTAAAATTAAAATATATACTAGTTCTGCCCACGACTCGGCAACAAAACACAAATACGAAACTTTCGCCTGAATATGGAGAAGCTATCATATTATTACTATTACATAGTATTATATAATACAAAGGGGCCAAAAAAAGCTCATAATAAAACAAAATATTTTATTTCACTCCATAATTTTTATAAACAAACATCCGGTAAACTATAATCCAAAGTAGAATCACAATCTAAAATAACCGCACTCTTGTGTTTGTACTCTATGGAAATTTCAAAGGCATCGCGCTCGTCCGTTAATTTATCAAAGAAATGACTCGTATTTGCTTTTGAAATAGAACTACTACATTTCATATCAGGAAAACTTTTAGCCGGACTGCTTTTGGGTGTAGAACAGTTCCGATTAAATCTTTGATTAATAATAGTTTTCATTTGTTTACTCTCAAAGATAAGTTTAACGAAATTGCTATTTACTTTGGCCGTTGTAACTTTTTGAGGTCTGGAAACGATTTGATCGACTATATCCGATAGGTCACTGTCTTGACCCTCACAGCTCATATCTAAAATGCTTAAACCGAGATTTCCATGTAAATTCTCTTTGCCTTCTAATAACTTACGCATAGAATAATTTTTCATTGATAAATTCTTGATACTGTGGTTGAATGAGTCTTTTTTAGATTTTCTCTTTTTGCAAGGTCTTAAATAACTTTCAATTGTGTTAGCTTTTCTCAATTTCCTTTTTAGTTTATTTACGCAGACGCTGACTTGTAATTTGCTTGAATTCGGATCAGACTGTTTAGATAGGCTCATATTTTTTAAAGATTCATTCAAATTTGACATAGCGAAATCTTGCAGTTTTTTAGGTTTTCTATTATATTTTCTTTTTGGTTTATCACTTTGATCTTTTGGCTGTTCTTTCTTTTTTCGACTTCTGGTCTTTTTTTCTTTTGGTGGTTTTTTAATGGATTCTTCATACTGTTCTACTAAATTCGGGTAATACCGTCGCATAAGAGCCTGGCGTTCTGTCGATATCCACGGTCCTAATGTGTCTTCTCCCTCTGAAAATTTTTAATTTTTTAATTTTTTCGGCTTATTTTCAAAAATCAAAATCTTAATTATCTATCGCACTCCATAAAAATCATGTTTTTCTTTTACAGTCATAAGACTTATATATACAAATATATGTTTAATATTGTGAAGTGCATATAAAAATACTAAATGTCCACATTCGGAGAATGCTTTTATTTTACTACAAACTACGAAAACAATCACAATGTAAAACTACACTGATGCGTTTGAAAACTTAGCATATTGGGGAAGATTAAACTAGGTTATTTCTTATAGGAAATTTTAAAAAAAAATTTTTCATCCATTACCAACACTATATGATAAACATCAGCAAAGTTGCATGTTTCACTAGTATAATTTACCACATATATACATTTAATATTTACCTTCAAACTGATTATCTGGTATGAGAGCTTCGTACTGGCCACTGATATCCGTCCATAAAACTTCATAGCTAGGGACGCCTGCATGGAAAAGAAACTTATTACAAGCAGTTAAGTAGTAGCGTACGACCTATGTACAATAGATTGTCTATACATATAATAAAATGTTAACTGAGTCGAACCTGTACATTAAGTATTTTTTGAAAAATCTTATTGAAATAGTCATTCATTATTATCGATACAGTGACCGAATCTATAGTTTTTAGAAAATCAGAATCAGAAATGAGATATTTTCCCGCAATAAAAAGTATCCTATATTATGTTGATATAACAACCATAACCAACTATCATCATACCAAATTTCATCAAAATCCGTTCAGTGGTTTTTTCGTGATGCGGTAACAGACAGCCAGTCAAAAATTCTAATGCCTATTTCAATAAGATTTTCCAAAAAATATTTTATGTCCAGATTCGGCTCAGTTAGAATTTTATTTTATGTATAGATGTTTATTTAACTTTTTTATTCCCTTCCTTTACTATTTCTGATTTCATCAGCTATTTTCGTAGCAGATATGTATATCATAAAATACAGCATATGTTACGTACTACGTCGGCAAAGTTTCCGACCGAGTGAGTCCTACTCCATTAGTACATTCTCAAACACTAAGTTTTTGGTTCATAAATAATATAAATTTTTATATATGAATAACATAACAGAGAAAATATTAACAAAATAGATCCTAAAAGCTTTCCTTTCTCTTTGGATTGATATATTTATTTTTATTTTGAATGAATGTTTGATATGGAATAGCGTGATGTCGGTATTGAGAACAAATAAGCTCATCTAACATACGTGAGATGCGGTACAGTGCACTAAAAAGCAGAATATAAAAGCGCGAAATGTATATATAAAAGTAATTACGATATATACAATATTGCCACATGTTTATTGCAAATATAGATAGCGTTTTTATTACAGAGAAAGATATTATGTAATTTTAAGTAGGTACATATAAGTGAGCGGATAAAACTTTTTATATTTATATACATACGCTAAAGGCTGCATCTATCAATTGTAACCATTGCTTAACCCCTCCACGACCGCGGACACGCCGGCGTGTCACTTAACAATGGATTTCTTAGAAATTTACCTGGAGATGTTAAAACTTAAATAGAATAGTTAAAAATTGGATTTAACAAAAACAACCTATTAAAAGAAAAGATCTCACATACCAGTATGAATTTTAAAATAAGTTTTAACTACATGCCGTTATACGTCCTCTGAGAGCCATAGAATAACCAAAATAAGATCATTTGTTGGAAGATAATGAAAAATGCAAACGCACTTTTGCTCCAAACAAGTTCCGGCAACACTTTGTGAATCTTATATTAAATGAGCAATTCTTGTATGTATATAAATTTATTTCATGTATCTCGGAAACAGGTCTAACGATTTGGATTAAATTTTGTATTAAGATAAGCTTTTGCTTTTTAAGTTTATCTAAATAGTTGAATATTCTGAAAAAAAAAACGCAATTTTCCACAAAAATACACCGAGCAAAGCTCAGGTACTGTTTATGTAATGTGACTCACCTCTCGGATTTCTTTTCTTCTTTATCTCGATCGGTTTTATAGTTCTACAGGGCACGTACTCTTGAAGATGCCATTTTGTTAGCAACGGCAAGAATTTCTCTACACAGTACCGCTCGGACCAGTCCAATTTATTCGACATGATTTTCTGAAAAGCAAACGCTTTCCCCTTAATCCTATTAAAACAGTAAATATTTTCTATTATAAGAAAGACGGAAGACTAAATTATTTATGGACTGAACGTTTTCCTTAAGATTTAACATCTACTTATTCCTCCGAAAGCCGCAACGAAAACGTTTTACTAATTAATTTTTATAATGTTTTTTTTTTATTTGAAATATTGCACAAATCAATATCACAAGACTTTAACAGATAGAAAGGCTTAGACAAGTTTATTACTTTAAAAGTTGAATTACAACTTAATTACAAATGTTCTTAGTTGGAAACAATCGAATACCACAAATTGAATTAAACTCGGAGTCGGAGTCTTCAAGCTGTCTAGATCTATATCTTCTGGTGTGGTATCCAGGAATTCCTTCATAACTTTCGGTTCAGGGAACGGCATTCCGGACGACAGGGCGCGATTCCGAAGAGATAGTTCACGTTTTACTTCCGATACTTTGGACCTGCGAGCGATTGGGATGTAAATTTATTTTTATCAACTTGTGTTGTTGATATATTTATATTTTTTACTGTATTTATAAAAAAAGGTCTTTTTTTAATATTTTATCATGTTTGAGTTTGGCTAGAAGTACATAATCTAAATACAAAAGATCTAAAAATCGTGATAAATTCTTATAATCGGATGTAATCTATGAAGATAATAGAAAAGAATACATATAATCTATGAAGACATATCTCTATTCTGACGTAAGTTTACTTTCAAAGTTAATTCGAATATCAGTGGATTTTGATAACAGATAGATTTTTGATTTTACAAATCTTTTGTGTCGGAAAAATGAATCCTCTTAACACTTCGTGAAGATATGTAATTCGGCCCTTTTTAACGTCCCACTGCTGAGCACGGGCCTCCCTTCAATACGAGGGGGTCTAATAGTCCACCACGCTGACGAAGTGCGGGTTGGCGGACTTCACACGTCTTTCGTAAACTTGGTAGGTTCTCTCAGACATGCAGGTTTCCTCACGATGTGAAAATATCAGAGGTGCAAGACCCGGTATTTGAACCCGCTTCACTCGGTTTCCCAAGCGAGCGCGTTACCACTGGGCTACCAGTGCCTATTTCGTGAAGATGTATAACATGTCTCAATTTTCTTAATACATAATGACAAATTATATTAACAATGGATTGTGAAAAAAAATACTAACCTTTGATTCTTAAAAAATATAATAAAATGAAGCTGTCCACAAGAATTTTGGTAAATTTCTCTATAGTATGCAATAAAGGAACTAAAACCAATCACCGGAACTTGGTATAAAATCATATTTCAGAAGATACTAATTACGTGCAATAGCTAGAAATGAACAAACGGTTTAAATTTAAAATTTCTGAGCAACAATGTATATATAATACAGTCAGGAAAATGTAAATATTTCCGATAAAAGCGCCGAGGAAAACGTCCCTGGAACGTATTTAAAATATCGACTTTTATGACGTCTATTGGATAAAATGTACAATTCGATTGAATAGCTCCCAAGGATTTGCGGAGATGAATCTATACTAAGAATCCTACCGCGATAACCCTCTCAATGCTTCTTTGACGCGAGAAATATGTGAATTTTATCGCTATTTACTTACGCGACATACATTTTCTTACATGTAAGGAAAGTAAATTTACAAAGTGATAGACAAATACTTTCACCCTAAATAATGATTTGTAGGCGTATTCCAATTCCATGTCTTAAATTGGACCAATTTTTTTGGTAAAACAAAGAACGAAGTTACACAAAACCCCCTCGTCTATTATTAAAAAAAAAGGATTCGATGGCAACTTTGAACTTTTCACTAATTTATACATATAATAAAATCGTAACTCAGCCGAATCTGTACATCAAATATTTTTTTGGAAAATCTTATTGAAATAAACATTATTATCGATACAGAAGCCGAATCTATAGTTTTTAGATTTTTTTTGTCTGCCTGTCTGTCTGTTGCCGCATCACAGAAAAACCACTGGAGGGATTTTGATAAAATGGTGATCCCTGGTTGTCCGGGTCAACGTATAGGACAACTTTTTACCGCGGGAAAATATTTCATTTCTGAGAAAAAATGCAAAAACTGCAATGTACCTAAGAGTATACTAATATGTAAAACCGAAGAATTTGGTTTTAGGTCATACGAACGAGGGTGGACCCGCGGGCAATACTAGTTAATTAATAAAATTTTGATGTAACGTAAGAGTTACAGACTATAATGCTGTCTATTTATGTGATGTAAAATATAAATATTTTTTTTATATTTGTTTACGTGAAAATTATTTTAAAACCAACTACGCTGTTTTTATTCTATTCTATGCCTAAAAAAAGATAACCTACGAGAGAATAAAATGAATATAGGATATCAGGAGTAAGGTAATTAATTGTAAGGTTTTTTTATTATTATTATATTAAAGTTATTTTAAATTTTATTTAACATATATTGCATGAAATATTATTCAGTATTATTTTTCACTTCCTACATAATGTATTCTATCTCATGCTCTCGCCGGTATAATCCTACATATGTATGTATTATGTGTTTGTCTCTTTGTTTCATTGAGTTTAAATCACTACGATGCTAAAAACGTTTCACTTCAAAAATACGTGCTCTTTTGAAGCCACTTGGCCTAATCACTATGCAAAAATTTTGCTCTGACAGCTATAGGTATATGTAAAAAATGAACTTTAGCAATTAAAATGAGGAATCTAAAAAAATATATAGCATAAAATCTTTTTACCAAAAAAAAAAAACTGACTTCAAACAAAAGCACTAAAAAGTAAAAAATAACTGATTGGTAGTTTTCATTTACTATACATACCTAATCAAATATTTTCGAAGTCGGTGTGCTTTGCTTTGTATGGGCTGGCACCGATTTCGAAAATATTTGATTAGGTATGTATTTAATAGGTAGGCTTTAATTACTTAGCCAAAGCACACCGACTTCGAAAATATTTGATTAGGTATGTATAGTAAATGAAAACTACCAATCAGTTATTTTTTACTTTTTAGTGCTTTTGTTTGAAATCGGTTTTTATTTTTTTGTTAAAAAGTTTTTATTTTTCCCTTTTTAGTGTAGACAATAGTAGCAAAGTAAGAATTCTAACGTGTTAGGCTTGTCGAATCAAACAAAATAAGCCCAAACTCAAAGTATCTACTATTAGCCGTTGAAGAGTTCCACCTATCCACCTTCTGGCCTTACCATCAGATCAGGTCAACAATACCGAACCACTGTACTGTCAACGGAAATAGAAACACTTGCAAAGTTTCAAGTCAATATGACAATTAGAAGTGGGTTAAATCCATCATTAGCTATTTTTCCACCCTTAGGGGTGGTATTTTTTTTTTTGAAATTTAAATGGGACCAATCTGGAAGTATACCCTTTCAAACAAAACAAAAATTGTCCAAATCGGTTAATAAATGACGAAGTTCTGAGGTAACAAACATAAAAAAAAATCAAAAAAAAATACAGTCGAATTGAGAACCTTCTCCTTTTTGAAGTCGGTTGAAAACAATTCCAACAACTAGGTATCTGTTCCTGGAAATTTTCTAATAAAGATTTAACTCTCTTTTATGATCATTTCGCTGTAGGATTTCTTGGAAGTTCTTCACAATTAAAATACACAAAGAATATTATTCCCTTGAACGCGTTCTATTTCCAACTCAATAAAACTGTTTCGCAGAACAAGATTATACACAATTAGCGATCTGCCCTCGCCTCCCTCGAGTGGGTTATTTATTATTAGGCATCTAAGGACGCACCTATGTAGTACTTCCATTCATTCCGCCTTTTCAGCGTGAACACCATAACAAACATACACAGACACACATATAAATTCAAACTTTTGCAATTTGCAATTATAATATTCGCAACTGATTATTTTTAGTATCAACTACAAACAAAAAAAACCATGAGGTCATGAGGACTGCCGACAGAAGTGAAAGCTTACAACTATAAACAAGTAGTTGTTATTTTTAGATATTATAATAATTGTTTGAACTTAAATTAAAATTTGTAAATTAAAACTGTTTACATTTATTTGGTTTTGACGGCATTTGAGTGTCAGCGTTAACACGTCACGTGACCATGTCGATGACGACTTACATGAATTTACTCCCCATCCAAACCTGCCTATAGTAGTTTTCACTTCAATAAAACTTACTTGTGTCCAGTATCCGTACATCCTTTATGTGTGACACACACAGGACAACCATTCTTCATGTGAGTACGGCCCATGTGGCCGCAGCGGTCGCAGCGACCGGGCGTCGAGACCCAACGGTTTTGATTCTCGTAGTGCTCTGGATCGCTAACCCAGTTTAGCAACCTGTGTAGACCGTTATATTACGTGAAAGCGAAATATTTTTATATTCAAAATTATAATATTTATTATTAGCATGGGGTCTCATCAGGAACACAGAAAAATTAGTTCAAATAAATGTCAATAGATGACGTTACATGTATCGATTTGTTATTATAGTTGTGTTATAACTGCCTCGGTGGTGTAGTGGCTAGCATGTACGGCTGCACACCCGGAGGTCCTGGGTTCGAGTCCCGGGTCGGGCCAAGTTTAGTTATTGTGTCTTTCTGTATAGTAAGTCTCAGTAACAGCCCGGAGTTGGGAAGTTGGCTGTGTCTCACCCCCGTGCCTCGGAGAGCACGTAAAGCCGTCGGTCCTGCGCCTTAACTCTCACCGATCGTGTCAAGCTGTCTTCCCACCAGAGTATGAGAGTGCCAGGAATAGAGAGTGCACGTTGTGTCTGCGCGTACACTTGTGCACTATAATATCTTCTGCGCAGTTGACTAATCTCAATGAGATTGGCCGCCGTAGCCGGAATCGGCTAGGAGAAGAACATCATAGATGTGTTAAATTAGCAAAAGATAAAAAATAGGTCCCAAAAATGTATATTATCAATTATGGTTTTTAAAAATACTCTTAGTGATGGAAAATGATATAGTACGCCCGTAAATCAAATTTGCTTAACTTTACTAATTATTGGATTATCAACAATCAAGTTTGTAATGCATGTTCACAGATGGCGCTTTTACTTTCCATCGGTAGCAGTAGGCAGTTAATCGATTGCAGGGTGAATTAAATGTTTCATACTTTAGTTTCCACGTATTTACAATATAAAACAGTTCAACTATTTGCGGATCAACGACATCTATTATCTTTTTAAGTAAAAAAATAGCCCGAAAAATAGCCCGAATTAGCGCTGTCCAATTTCTTTGTATGGGATTAGGCATCTGTACTAGTATAGTATTATATGATGTGTTATTTGAAAATATGTCTTTTTGGCCGATTTTTGTATACAACAAACTATCGTAAGTCTACATTTTACCTACGTTGAGACAATATGCATAATTTAAGTAATAATATTACCTAATTATAAATGTGAGCACAAACAAATTGCACTCTATACCTATTTCCTCACTAATAATTCAATAAAAAATCTATCTGAAACGACCGGCGAGATACAAGTCGCAGGTCCGCGGCGACGGCAAGATAGACGGATAATAAATATTTAACTAAATTTAAATAAATATAAATATATATTCAGCATTATTACAATTTTTTTCTCAACATGAGTATAACAAGAATTCGGAAAAAAAAATCCTCAGTCCTAAGAATAACTGGCGAAAGAAACTCATCGCGACGTTTTTTTTTTTTTGGTATTTTTTTTTTTTTAATTTATTTATTTTAGGTCGCTTTTTAACATCTAAGGTCATTAGCGATTTTTGGTAAATTATAAATTACAATAATTTGAAAATTAAAATAATTCCCCTACATTGTAACATCCTTTAGTGAACATCAAACACACCCCAACTTTTAACTTCAACTCACACTATTTTATACAACGAACTTTCGATTTCGTTTCGAACAAATTGACTCGAACCCAGGACGAATACGGAACCAGAGTAACGAGGCGGTTCTAAAAAAATAATTGCCATACATCACATACTAAAATACAAGCAGAAAATACAATTCTTATACACGAAAATTAACCATATTCATATATGCATATTTTTGAATGTTTATGTATGAAATTGTTTTGAATTTTTCATAGTCTTCCAATATTTATTCAGAAATTTTGTTTCAGTTAGATATCAAATCACAATATCTACGTACATACTCGTATGTACGAACCAATCAATAATAAAAGCTTCTATAAACGGGAATCAATAATATACATAAAAAAAGCTATACGCGTATCATATAATTCACTCAAACTTTACCTACATTTATTAAACCGATTTAGATGAAATTTGGTAAGAACATAATTTGAGATCCTGGGAAGGACATAGTATACTTTTCATCCCGGAAATCATCCCTTTAGGGGCTGAAATGTAGATAAAAGTTTGTATTGGGAAGCAAGCTAGGGACGAACCCAAGCAAAGCGAGGGTGAGTCTCTAGTTAATGTTATAAATATATTATATGTTGTTATTTTGCCCAACTGTAAAGCAATGACATGCAAGAAATCGACGTTTATTTAGTTTATGTTTGCCGAGATAGTTGCCAATTAGGTATGAAAATTATATAAGCTTGTTTTTTATTCCGGTGCAAATATTACACGTGGGAATTTATTATATTGGAAAAGGTAACTGAAGAACGTGTAGTTAAGGGTTGCGTGAAACGATAGATTATGAGATTACCTAATGTACCGGAGATCAAAAAAAGGTGGTGTAGGATTTCTATGCTCTCGAGTGTAGGTAGGTAGGTTCCAATCAATCGCAGTATTACGTCTCACATATTAGACTGCACTGTGTCCATACTAGTGAAAAGACGACAAGTAAAATTTATAATTGCGTCTGAAGGAGACCGACCGATAAATAGGTAATAATATATATATAATTTTGAAATTTTCTTCTAACAACTTAAATCAGATTGAGCCAAAAAACCTGTTAATCATTTCCTTTAATTATTTCTTAGTAGTTAGAAGGTACACATATGTATATCACTCTTATTGGGAGAAATATATTATTAAAAAATAAACAATGAAATGAATTATGTATTTTTCTTTATAAGAATGGGACTAAGCTAAGGAGCTAAATTGATGTTAAAGCTGGGAGAATGATAGTGTAACTTTGCAATAGATACCTACTAGTTACTTAGCTTTGTTTGTGTTGCACAGTTCGAGTTGTTCTGTTAATCAAATGGACCCAATTTCGAGAGGTTAATATCACTCTTATTATTACTAACTAAAATAGTTTTTGGTGCACATTATGTTTTACCTTATTATGATCATGCATCATACAAATAGTTTAAATACTAATCACAACAAATAAATTTAATTCCGTCATACTCTAGAGAAGACACCATATACATAAATCAAACGAAATTCGAAGAATATTGTGTTCTTCTTCCAGGGGCGGATTGTGAAATTGAGGGACCCTGGCCTAACACTTCTTGGAGGGCTTAATTAATTATAATTTTTATATTTATAAAAAAACATGATCCCAGCGAATAAAGAACCTCTTCTTTTTTGGAAGTCGGTTAAAATACCAGCAGAACTCGCGGTTTCGCTCGCCCTAAGACTACAAAGAAACTAAAAAAGTAGGTTTCATACAAACTTTCATTTCCTATTTTACCCCCATATGGGATCAAATAACAAAAACTCCAACAGAGCTGAATTTTGGAGACCTTGGGTACACCAGAAATAAAGTGTCAAAGGTTCCCATCAATCCCATGTGTGCTAAAATAGTTCAAGGTCAAAATTTACGGTTTTTTGGATTTTTCTCGAAAACGGTAAGTTTTATCAAAAATATAATCCAGACAAAAATTGTAGATCATAAAATAAATATCTACAAAAATGATCAAAATATGTTTGGTGTACCCAAAATTTCTACCAAAATTCAGCTCTGTCCGAGTTTTTATTATTTGAAATATCTATTTTGACCGGACTTTTATTAGGCCAGCCTTTTATGACATTTTTTTATTTTTGATATTTTTTTATTTTAAAAATCATAATTTTTTTTATCCATTGTTTTCAACAAGAGGTCAGTAATATCTCAGGGGCCCTGGGCTGCAGCCCAAAGATCCTATATATAGATCCGCCCCAGTCTTCTTCGAAAGAACGATAATGCTTCGAAGTTCGAATGCAGGTTTTAACGTTTTCCGGCCTCCCAGTTACCAAAAGCCCAAACAAGCCAGTTACTCCAAGGGGTTTACCAAATAGAAATTCATGTCCAAAAACAACAAGATCACCCAAGAAACAATGTGGAGAGTGCTATGGTTGGGATATACAGGATCAAATCAGAATTAAGGAGATATGCAGAAGGACTAAGGTCAACAACTAAGCAATTGGGAGATACGATCAAACAAGGGATGGTCAATGGACCGAAGAATTCTTAAGTGGCAGTCACATACCAAAGACCTGATAAATGTACATTATTTCTGGAACTTTTAAAACCAAAATTGAATATAAATTACCTATGTATAGCCTCGTCTTCTGATAATGTATGCAGGAATGAAACAACAGTGGTTATTGCAGACCCACAAGCTCCAAGTCCATAATCACAGCCGCACAACAATGCTAGTGCCACCATTTTCTTTCGCCCAAACCCTAATGTTAAACAAAAATAAATTTTATTTACATTTCCATATTTGCAATTGCAGGTGCTGCATTTTCCTAAATATTATATGAGTATAATCACTTAAAATGATATTGAATAATGCATATTTTCTATATATTTACAATGTTTAAACTGATCAAACAAAGAAATTTTATGTTTCAGATGACAATGTCTATTCACTGCAATAAATTATGGTAGTATTAGTATTCCCCCCCAACGTGCGTTCACCTTGTCGTGGTGGGGGGGCTCAGTAGTGCCCGGCAATCCAACCGGGCGCGAAGCTAAGAAACGCACAGGGAGGTTACCCACTTCGGTGGGCGGTGGGAGGTGGCCCTCTTCGGGGGGCGGTGTACCTTGCGGGTTGCTCCTGGTACTTCTCTGATAGCAGAGTGGACCTTGGAGCAACCCCATGGTTGTGGTGGTCTGCTTTGGCAGACCTGCCGTCGGGGCGTCGTAGTTGAATGCGTAAGCGATCCTGCGACGCCCCATTAAGACGGGGGAAGGTTTTGTTGGGTTTTAGTGGGTAGTACTGGCTGTATTACGGCGGTGAGTCCCACACGTCGTGCGTAAATGCATTTCCCAACGTTAAGAAAAAAAAATGGTAGTATTAGTATTCAGCCCTTTGTAACGTCCCACAGCTGGGCATGGGCCTCTCTTCAATACAAGAGGGATCAGACCATAGTCCACTACGCTGGCCAAGTGTGGCTTGGCGGACTTCACATGTCTTTCGAAGATTTGCTAGGTTCTCTCAGACATGCAGGTTTCCTCACCATGTTTTCCTTCGCCGTAAGACAAGTGGTAATCATGTTGGAAATGATTCACACATGAAAATATCAGAGGTGCAAGACCTGGGATTTGAGCCCGCTTCACTCGGTTTCCCAAGCAACCGCATTATCACTGGACTACCATTGCCTCAAATAATTGTAATACTACCAAATTCTCTCATCTTTTCATCATCATCATCAACAAAGCGTAACATACAGCCTCTTACTACTGTATTTGACTTGGAGAAAAAGAACAAAAAATTGGCTAAATATGCATATAATTCAGTAAACTATAACTAACCAATACTCTGGAACATCTTTTGAGCATCATAGCAGTCAACAGAGCCCTGCATGGCACCACCTCCGGCAGAACTTGACACACTAAAGTTCCGATATACAAGCTTTGCACCATATGCAAAACAATCAGAGTCTTGAGATACTACTGCATTTACCAACTAAGAAAAACATAAACTAGTAATATAAATATAATTAAGTAACTCACAGTTTACTTAAGTAAAAAATAAACATTCATAGGTTGAAGTTTAAAAATTAATATAATCTAATAAATTCTTAGGGCAATAGAAATAATAATAAATGTTATTCTGCCAAATATGTACCTTTTTTTAAGCCTTTGTGAAACTTACAATAAGATTTTTTTGTACAAATAGTATTAGACTTATGACCTATTATTAATACAATGGAAACAAGAAATTACATAGAAAATAGTAATAAATACAAACACCTTTAGCATTTAATCTTGCACAAGTAGCTTCTGCCTCGCCTCTACCTTTGACACATCTTACCCCCATGGTTCTGAGAAGTGTTTCACACTGTAGAAATAATGTTTATTGAATACAACAATTTATATTAGATTTAAAACCAAAATTAAAATAAACTTATAATAATTATTGCATTTGATAACACTAACCTGTCAGCGACTACCAAGCCACAGGGGGCTAGGTTAACAATTGCTTTCTTAAAAATTAACAGCAAGGTGCTAAGAAACAATATTAGATAAAACACAGCCCAAACATTTTTTCTAAAAATTGGGTAATATAATTATAATCCAAATGATTCAAAGTATCTGGCAAAGTAAGGATCAACTCCCCAAGAGATCACAAGTATCTATTTAAAATTAAGTGTATAAGACAATTTTAAATAAGTGTTTAAAAATAAATGGAGAAGAACATGGTACTCTTTTACTATCCAGAAGAGATACAGTATGAATATTCATATTACTAACTTCCTTTAAAACACCTTTGAATCTTTTTCTCGATATGTTAGCTCCTTTACTTTTAGCAGCATCTGACTTTGGTGCTGCTCCTCTAAATTGTATAGCATTTCTAGCTGCCATAACATCTCGTTTTAGTTCTGGTGCATCACCCTCTAACACAAAAATCGGCGTGATATCTGCTAATAATAAATACACGGTCCTGAAGAATAAATTTCTGAAATAGAGGCATATACATTTAACAATTTATAAAATATTAATTTTGTTACTGAAAAACAAACTTATACTACCTACTTGAATAAACAGATGTTCAAAGTAAATAGGAACTAAAAATTAATAAGTTTTAGTTACGTTTATTATGAGTAAAACATATAAATACCTTAAATATAATTTAGGTTGTATATTATAGTCTGTAACATTTTGACTATCGCAAACCCAACCCGCTAGATCTACTGCAACGGTTTGACCTCGAATCTAAAATATAACTTTTATTTATTTGTCTTTTATTCATTCATTGTTTAAAATTCAAAAACTATAAAAGGCAAATATTAACTTCATGCAATGATTTCTTCTCACTGTACGGTGTTAACACAGTCCATAAACCTTTAATACCCATTGCACATTAATTTCAGCTTTACTTATACTTAGATAAAGAGAAAAGATAAATCATTAAATATTAATTATAAAATTGCGCAAATAATAAATATAATTCGAATATATTTCATTTAATGTCAAATTCAAACATAACGCTCCAGAGTCCAGGTTCACTGTTGCCAACACTCTTTAAAGAAAACGCGCTAAATTGACTTCAAAAAAGCGCTAGATTTAGACATTTTCCGAAAAAAAGCGCAAAATTATAAAAACAATTAAAAAATTTGGTAATTATAATTATTTTTAATTAAGAGTTACATAAAAAGACAAAAATTATCTACAAATTTATTAGCTAACAAATTGTACAAGAAGAACAAGTTTCTAACGATGAAGAATATCATCGTCAGAAATTTGTTCTTGTACAATTTGGTGGTACCTAGATAGTTTTGATCATGAGTTACATTTTGTATCTTTACAACATGTAATGTAATAAAATAACAAAGTAAATCTAACCTGAACATTATATACCAGAGGTACAAAACCTTTTGACAAAAATTTGAACCCATAAAATTGTTTTTGCGGTCTCTGTATGTTCTTTGGCTGTATTTTTGGGCAGCAAATAAGGTTAGTAATCGTTTCAAATTTTTTTTAAAAGGGAGTATAGTGTTTTTTTTTTAATTTTTGAGGCTCTGGATGCTCGTTGTTTTATTTATTTTGAACAATTACGTTCCGTTATATTATGTTATTTCAAAGAAGGAAAATATTATTTAAAAAGCGCTAGATTGGGCGCTAAGTGCTATATTTTTTTGTTGGGCGGAAGCGCCGAAAGCGCTAAGTTGGCATCACCGTCCAGGTTCCCGCACAATCACTAGTACATGCCCTATTTTCCAATTATAGCACTAAAGGGCATTATGCGGCACGATGCAAGCTTCGAATGCTTTAACTACAGCAACGCTCCGCATAATCGAGCATTTTTAAAAGTCCTGCTTTGGCGCGATGTGCGCAAGGATACCAATAGGCTATTTGGGAGTGTGAAAAATACTGTTTTATTTATTGACATCCGCATAGGGCATGGGCTTTAAATGCAATTTATATAATTAGGTGAAAAAATATGTTATTATATGTGTAATAAAGCCTCTAAAAACTAAATTTATTTTTCTCTACTATCACGTGATTGAAAACGATCTGGATTGGCTGACCATATAATTACGTCAGAGGCTAGCAAGCTATCAAATAACATGTCTCATTTCTGTCAATGAGTAATGAGTATTGACAGCCTGTCATTGCCATTTCCTCATTATTTTTCTGGTGTTTTAAGTCTTTATATTTATATTTTATAGTAGTATTTGTGCACCCTGGCACTACACACCATTTATACATATTCTTTTTTGGTTATATTGATTAAAAAAAATGAACGCTAACTAAACTTGGGTTGTATCGGTTGATTGTCTATAACTCCTTGTGACATCACTGAGGCCATGTTTCGCAAAAAATTGTTTCAACAGCCTATTTGAATTGTACTTTTTAATTCCTATTTTTTGATAAAATACTCATAAGTATTAAAAATAAACACTTTTTGTAGGCTCAGTAAACACCAGTAAATAATTTAAAAAGGTTTTTAGAAACCAGTCAAATAGCCTATTTATTAGCAGAAAATATAAGAAGTGTTTTTTCTTCAAGGTACCATTGATCAATATTTTATTTACAATAATTACCTTTAGTACTATTGTGTATTATTAAATTAATTTGTAAAACTTTTGACTTAGTCTGTTAAAATATAAAAAAGTTAATATATACTGTGTTCAAAAATAAATATAAGTATGTATGAAGCTTCAAGGAGGCTTTAATTACGTTTGCAGCAGTCAGGAGGTCGAAAAAAAAACCGAATAATTAATAATTATTTATTAATTTTACATTAATACAATAATTATATATCTTAAAACTAACGACGTCATTACTCGAAGTATGAATAAAGAGTGATTGGAAAAGTATTACAATTAATAAAATTACTAAATTAAAACAATGCGGCATTACAAAATTAATTCGGGGAACTCGGCGGTGGTCGCCTGGGAAACGTACATTTATTTGATACGTCAGCATATTCGTGGGATTAGGGTTCCGTAACTCCTCCACCCCTAGAGAGGCAACTATTTGAGAATATTGAGTGAAAAAGTTGCCGGGATACTTGTGTCCTTAAGATCTTAAGATCTGGGTTATCTCCATTTTCTAAAATTTCTTCCTTTTTTGCAGTAGTTTTCTTATACTTTCTATAGTGTAATAAAATGATAAGTGCACCTGCACTGAATAATATGGCGTATACTGGTATGGTTGTATGGTATACTGTAATATCCTTTTCGCGTTCAATTTGTAGCGGTGATTGTATCATAATTTTGTCCTTGAGTCTATGGAGTCCTTGGATATTTATAGATGATATATTAATAGTTGTATCTAGGTGCGCAATTTCATCGGGTATCTTCATCAATTTTAAGGGCTGTCCTCTTACTTCGTTGTTGTCATTAATTAACGTAAATTCTTCGGATATGATTTTGCATCCTAGGGGAATAGTTATGAGGTAGCTGCCTTTTAATGAAGTGAATTCCTGTTTACCGCATGATATTTGTATCTTTTGATGCTGGGGGAACGTTATAAGGTAGTGCATATCGTCCAGTTTCTCCATTGATTCTCGTAGAAGATTGACTGTAGTTAAGTGACAAGATTTCTTCAAAACCTGTTTAATAATTAGCTCGTGGATACAATCTGAATTTGTACGAATCTGATGATTGAGTTCCATTTCACAGAGATACCAGCTGCTATGTCTCGGGCATTTGGCCTCTATGTACACGAATGAATTCTCGTTAGTTGTAATGAAAGGAGAGGATGGGATGAGAGCCTGCGATTTTTTATTAGGTACTACTGCTAATCTATATAATAAAAAATTATCCTTAGAAATAATAGGAAATCGGAATATAAAAACTATTTTCTTATTAGCATAATAAGAAGCTGGTTGGATTACATTATAATATTCTCTTAATTCTAAATTTAAAATACGCTCTTTTTCGTAGATATTCTTAAGCTTATCTATCATTGAACTTAATACATCTATACTAATCATGGAATGGTGCATGCTTGATGCATGAATAAAAGCTAAACTATTTTCTATTCTTAGTAATTCGTTCATTAAATCGTCTATGTTTTCACTTAGTATTACTAAAAGTTGGGCAAATTTGGCATATTTAATTAAAGTTGTATCATCTATATTGTTAGAAAGTATTAACATTAAGGTGCTTTTAATTTTACTTTGATTTTCTACTAGTTGAGTCAAAACGCTATTATATTTAGTGATCCATTCTTTGCTTATGCTTAACTGATTATTAAGTTCATTTGTAATTCTTTCCTGATTACTTTCTAATAATTTTATAGCTTCATTATACCTTAAAGCATCCGTATAATCTAAGTTTCCTGTAATACTTTTTATAACTGTTCCGAGTCCATCAATAATCCCTCTTTTAGACCTGGTGGGTTGCAAGGATTTAATTTGATATAATATGTCATCTAATTTATTGAGCAAGTAATTTATTTGAATTTTTATATACTGAATAAGTGTCATTAGGTAATTGATTTTTGTAATTGTGCAAATGGTTTTGTAGACTGTGTGTTTTATCTTCTATGTCGTCGAGTTTTATGTATTGTAAGAATGTGTAGTAATGTGTCGTTGTTTTCATCGGTCCAAGTTTGTAGGGAAGTATTCCAGGTCCATCATCAAGACTCTCGAATTTAATTTCCTGAAGATGTACCAGGGGTAGTATCATGAGCACCAGGATTCTGTAACAAATTCGCTGTTTTAGGGATTCGCTTTAGTCGCGACTTTGCTATAGGGCCACGTTTCTTTTTAGTGTAAATATGTATAGGTAAATCGGCAAGGACAGTGTCCTGTGTATATCTTGGGGCTGTTTTTTGTCTTTCAGCTAATGAGTTCCTTACAAAGATCTGCTGATCGGGCGCATACTCTATCTCAGGTTCGCGTGTCTGATTCCTATTCTGGATAAGGGTCGTTCGGTTACTAAGGGACGATTGGTTAACGATGTCATATACTTTTTTCATCTGTTCTTTATGTGTCTGTAAGTATTGCTGTAACGTTTGTTGAGTAAGGTCAATGTCAAGGCAGTCTCTAGGGTCAAAATGTCCGTTTAACAAGTCAAAGGGTCTACATCTCGTGAAACTGTGTATAGAACTATTGTAAGCTATTAAAGCGTAAGGCATAAGGTTCACAATGGGTTCGTCTTTATGTTGTAATTTTAAAAGTCGCAGATGTTCAAGGAGAGTTGAATGGAATTTTTCAATATTTCCGTTGCCATTAGGAGAATGAGCTAAAGTTTTGTGGTGGTTAATTTTGTGAAGTCTAGTAAATTCGTTAAATAATTGGTTAGCAAATTCTGTTCCATTGTCAGTAATAATAGTCATAGGGACGCCATGGTGGGTACAATATTGTAAAAGGGCTTGTAACACGCTAATGGCTGTTCCATCACGTAAGT